CCTTTATTTTACCAGGAAGAAATCCATTGAGATCATCAGTCTCTTTTACAAGGATGTCCTGGACAATATGCAAATACAGCAACACAGTCTTAAAAACGGTAACAATAGTATTAAAATATTTACAACAAAACATCCATTAGTAAAAATAAATAAATCACAATTCAAGATGCTTAAACATTACAGTTGCAAGATGTACATACTATATTTGAGTTCTCAATACTAATACAATGCCCAAATACTTTTTTAAAACGTCTTCAGTTGATCCAAAATGCTGCTGCCAGAGTCTTAACTGGAGTTACTGGGAGAGATCATATTTCTCCAGTTTTAGTTTCTCTCCATCGGCTCCCTGTCAAATCCAGAATAGAATTCAAAATCTTACTTCTAACCTACAAAGCTATCAAAAACCTAGCTCCATCATATATTAAATGGTAAATGGACTGTACTTATATTTCACCTTTCTATCTTATTTCAAGACACTCAAATCTCTTTACAACAATCTGTGCCTCACTGACCCATTCATACAGCTCTATACTAGATCTCTACAAAACTAATTGAACAAATCATTCTAAAGAGACTAATCAGTTCTTTATCACATTCATACACTGATGGGACACACATCAGAAGCTATGGGGGGTTCAGTGTCTTGCCCAGGGACACTTCGACATGTGACTACTGGTGGATTCGAACCCTTAACTCTCGCATTGGAGGACGACTGCTGAAACCACTCAGCCACAGCCACCCATTACAGATCTTGTTGTTCCATATTTTCCTAACAGAGCACTTTGCTCTCAGACTGCAGGCTTACTCGCGGTTCCTAGACTTTACAAAAGCAGAATGGGAGGCAGATCTTTCAGTTCTCAGGCTCCTCTCTTGTGGAACCAACTTCCAATCTCTGTCCGTGAGGCTGACACATTATCCATTTTTAAAACTAGGCTTAAGACTTTCCTTTTTGATAAATCCTATAGTTAGGGTCAGCTTGGGTTTCCTGAGTTGTCCCTTAGTTCTGCTGCTATAGGCTTAGACTGCTGGGGGACAAACTGACCACACTGTTCACTCTGCTACTGTCTTTACTTACTCTGCTCAACCAGTTTTTTATTTGTAATTATTTTTCCTACCGTGTTTGTTTGTCTTTCAGATACACCTGGACCTATACCTGGACCTATACCTGGACCTACCATTCTGTGTTCGTCTGTCTCTCCTTCCTGTCCTCTCAACCAGCCGGTCAAAGCAGATGGCCGCTTGTCCTGAGCTGGTTCTGCTGGAGGTTTCTTCCTGTTAAAGGGAGTTTTTCTTTCCACTGTTACCACTGTGCTTGCTCAGGATGGGAGACTGCAACGAAGTGAAGATTCAACTTGTCTGCTGGATTCCTTAGATAGAGAACTTTACTAATTGGCTTTTCTATGTATGTGAATGTTCCTGTAAAGTGCCCTGAGATGACTTTGTTGTGATTTGGAGCTATATAAATAAACTGAATTGAACTGAAAATTGAATTGAATCAGCCTATATATCTGTTGATCAACTTTTACAAATCTGAGCTTAGCTTTTTAAATGCACAGCTGTACACAATTTATTAACCAATTTCCTCGTCTCCATTAAAAAAACTCAAGACTTTGACAGATTTGTCCATCTTTGTTGAATAAGAGAAACTTTTTCCCCCCTTATTACCCTAGTTTGCAGAGTAATTTCTGGTAAGGGTATTTTAATTGAAATGGTTAAATTGGGAAACCTAATTATGTTTCTATGTTAAAACTTACTGTAAAAAATATTTAAAAGTGAAAGGAGGATGTAGCGCATGACTCTAGGGAGATGAGATAAGTGTGTTAGTAGGTGGAGAATGAGATGGAGCTGCTCTGGGCTCTAGTAAAACCCACCATAGAGTCACTCATTGTCCTGTGCACGCTTAGTTGGACTACCTTTCCAAATGAACATTGAAAAATAACTTATTTCAGAAATCTGACATTTTTTAATTGGAATTAGTTGAACACATCTGTGTCTCCCTCCCAAACACCCTGGACCCCTTACAGTTTGCATACAGAGAAAACAGATGACGCTTATGCTTTAGCAGTTCACACCTCCCTCAGCCATTGGAGAAGGGAAACACCTACTGTATGTGAGAATGCTCTTCATTGACTACAGCTCAGCATTCAACATCATAATCCCTTCCAAAATGATCTTCAAGCTCACCACACTGGGCCTGGAGAAGGCCATCTGCTGCTGGATACTGGACTTCCTCACCAAAAGACCACAGACAGTGAGAATCGGCAGTCAATTCTCCTCCACACTAGTCCTCAGCACCGGTACACCTCAGGGCTGTGTCCTCAGTCCACTCTTGTACTCTCTGTTCATGGACTGTACCGCCAGGCACAGCTCAAACATCATCTTCAAGTACGCTGATGACATCACCATCTTGGGCCACTGACAACAACGAGAGTGCCTATAGAGATGAGGTGAAATCACTGACCAGCTGGTGTCAGGAATATAACCTCTTTCTGAAGGCCAGCAAAACAAAGGAGATGATAGTGGACTTCAGGAGACAGCATGGAGGCTGGAGGATTGTTTTGGGACATCAGGGGCCATCCTTAGAGTGTGTGTGTGTGTGTGTGTGTGTGTGTGTGTGTGTGTGTGTGTGTGTGTGTGTGTGTGTGTGTGTGTGTGTGTGTGTGTGGGTGTGGGTGGGGGTGTGGGGGGGGGGGGTTACTGAGAGGATGTATGCATTATGCGTTTTTTCTTGTGTCATCCATCCAGTCTTCCTCAGTGTATTTCTCTCGTGTTGCCAGCTCCTGCTGCATCTGTCCCTTATTATCCTCCCCCAGGTGTTTGTAATTATGCATATCAATCAACCTTTATTTATACTGGTAAATCCCATTGAGCCTCGAGGACTCATTTACAAGAGAGACCTGATTTCAACAAAGAAAGATGACAACAATGGACAACAGCAACAACAACAACAACAACAACAACAACAACAACAACAACAACAACAGCATATCTATATATTCTGTTTCCTTGTTGTTCCCCTGTTGGTGGATTGTCCTGTATGATGCCATGTTCTGTTCTCCCTCCATGTCTCCACGTTGCACATATGTTTTGCTGCCATGTCAGCCTTTTGATTATTAATAGATATTATAATTCTTAGCTTATCCTTCGAGTTCCCGGCATTCTGTCTGCAATTTGGGTTTGACAAAAACACCAAATCATGATAAATACTTCACCAAGACAACAGATACTTCACCTGGACCTCAAAAATTACATGCAGACCATGTAAACTACACCTGGACTAAAGGAAATAAACCTGGACTACAGAAACTACATCCATCCATCCATCCATTATCTTCTGCTTGTTTCGAAGTCTGGTCGTGGGGGCAGCAGCTTGAGCAGGGAGGCCCAGACATCTCTTTCCACAGCCAACTCTTCCAGCTCTTCTGGGAGGACCCCAAGGCATGCCAATTGAGAGGAGTAGTCTCGCCAGCATGTCCTGGGTCTTCCCCAGGGTCTCCTCCCAGTCGGACATGCCTGAAGCACCTCCCTAGAGACGTGCCCAAGAAGCATCCTTACCTGATGCCTGAACCACCTCAATTGACTCCTCTCAATATGGAGGAGCAGTGGTTCTACTCAGAGTCTCTCCAGATGGCTGAACTTCTCCTCTATCTCTAAGGGAGAGTCCAGCTATCCAGCGGAGGAAATTCCTTTCAACTGCCTGTAACCGCAATCTCATTCTTTTGGTCACTACCCAAAGTTTGTGGTCATAGGTGAGGGAAGGAATGTAGACTGATCGGTAAACAGAGAGCTTTGTCTTGCGGCTTAGCTCCTTCCTCACCACAACAGACTGGCACAGAGTCCGCAGTACTACAGATGCTAAACCAATCTATCTGTCAATCTCATGCTCCATTCTTCCCTCACTTGTAAACAAACCCCCAAGATACTTGAACTTCTCCACTTGAGGCATAACCTCACCCTCAACCTGAAGAGAGCAATCCACCCTTTTTCAACTGAAGAACATGGCCTCAGATTTGGAGGTGCTGATTCTCATCCCACCTGTTTCACACTCGGCTGTGAGCTACTCCAGTGAGAGCTGGAGATCATGGCATGATGATGCCAGCAGGACCACATCATCTACATAAAGCAGAGACGGAATCCTGAGGGCATCGAACCGGAATCCCCCCACCCCCTGGTTGCACCAAGAAATTCTGTCCATAAAAGTTATGAACAAAATCGTGACAATGGGTAGCCCTGGTGGAGACCAATTCTCACCCTGAAGGAGTCCAACTTACTACCTGCAATGTGAACCAAACTCTTGCACCACTTGTATTGGGACCGAACAGCCCATAGCAACGGGCCCCCAATCCCATACTCACGGAGCACCTCCCACAGTGTACCTCAAGGAACACGGTCAAAAGTATTCTCCAAGTCCACAAAACACATGTAGACTAGGGCGGCTGTGGCTGAGTGGTTAGGGCAGTCGTTTTCCAATGCAAGAGTTGGGGGTTTGAATCCTCCAGCAGTCACATGCCGAAGTGTCCCTGAGTAAGACACTGAACCACTCGTTGCCTCCGATGTGTGTCCCATCGGTGTATTATCGTGTTCGGCTGTCTGGGGTGTTGGA